CGATGAACTTAAACACAAACTTTATGTTTGACAACTTCGAAAAACTAAAATTAATGAAGTATGTTTGATTTTAAATATTTCTTCTTATTTTAGGATGTGTTTTAGGATGTGCTTTCAATTATTTTGGCGCCGTGCAGCTTTTCAAGGAGTTGACTTCGATCATAAATAATGCAGTTACTAAAAGTATTATTTCTTTTTAAAATAAAACTAAAAAACTTTGGCAGAGTAAAAAAACATTTCTTCGCAAATTTGGGAACTGACCAGTTATGTTGTAAATATAAATATATATATTGGTAAAAAAAACACTTTTAACCCAAAATGTAAGCTTTGTTTGGTGTTAAAAGCCTTGTTCTGCTAACTTTTGGATATTCATATTATTCACTCGTTTTTATAAACATTTTCAAATATATATTTTGGCCAGTGCAGCTTCTCGAGCTGATGTCATATGGTCAAGCGTTGAAGGTTTTCTGTGCTGGCTAGTCAAAGGCTCTCGGCAGACAACTGACTACCAACTACCCACTAAGGACGAAAGGACGACTGCCGACTGGTGTCTGCTGGCTATGGTGTCGATAAGCCCCAATTGTGTACGAAACGGATGCAGGACAAGCACAAAAGAGCTCCCGTTTTGGGGTCTTTGTTTGCCCGGCTTTGAAGTCTAGCCGGGCTCTGAGCCGGCTCCCTGTTGTGCGTTTTCGGGATACAGATAGTAGTATACAGTAGTATCTCTGCTCTGGACACACTGGCCTCTCTTCGTCTAATTAGTGCAGTTCATGGGGGGTTGTGCCACAATCTCTTAGTTCTAAATATAAAAGCCGAGCCACTGGCTACATCATATATTTTTTTTGTTTATCAGATTTCAGGGTGAAAACATGTGATAAGCTGCAAACCTGAAGATTAGCTTTGGTAGCTAACAGGAAAGAGGGTAACTTTAAAGCCATAAAAATATTCCACTTGCCAGCAGGAGCTGTATTCTGTCTTATGCTCCTAAGATAGGCATAAATAATAAGTGAAATTGTATGAATTGGAAAAATAGAATGTTTAACACTAGAAAACATTCATTCTTAAACAAGAAAAATTTGATCTAAACTTTGTTATAATACATTGACATAAATATTGATTTATATAAATAATCTTTAATGAATATTGATAATTTTATTATTATTATTAATAATATAAATACCATATTATAAAGGGGAGTGGTTTTAAAAAGTTAATATCATTGTAGATTTTATGTTTTTGTCTTAAAAAATTATCTAAGCAATCTGCAAATTTTAAATCTGACTTTCATATTTGTTATGAAAAATAAACTTAAATATCCAAGAATATACCCTTCTGTTACAGGGTATTCCAATGATGAAAAGGGTAAATTTAAAGCCATAAAAATATTCCACTTGCCAGCAGGAGCTGTATTCTGTCTTATGCTCCTAAGATAGGCATAAATAATAAGTGAAATTGTATGAATTGGAAAAATAGAATGTTTAACACCAGAAAACATTCATTCTTAAACAAGAAAAATTTGATCTAAACTTTGTTATAATACATTGACATAAATATTGATTTATATAAATAATCTTTAATGAATATTGATAATTTTATTATTATTATTAATAATATAAATATCATATTATAAAGGGGAGTGGTTTTAAGAAGTTAATATCATTGTAGATTTTATCTTAAAATTTTAAATCTGACTTTCATAATATGTTACGAAAAATATACTTAAATATCCAAATGTGTATCCCGAATATACCCTTCTGTTACAGGGTATTCCAATGATGAAAATATCTTCTTCAAACAGGTTGCCTCGAACATGTTCGAATTGCAGCTTGCCGGGCGAAAACCCTACACACTTTTACACACACTGACACTGCAAAGAAAACTCCCATGATTTTCCTACTTTTTTTGTTTGCGTACATTTCCACTGCTCATTTATTTGTTTGATCCCAAAACACTCTTATCGATGCGATGGTTATCTCGACGGATGAGGTTTTTATTGAAGTCTTGGCAACAGTTTTATACATTTTCTGGTTCACTTCGTACCTTGAAATTCGCGCTGGGCAATCGGCTTATAGCCCCAAACGCCCTTTTTGCTGTGATAGCTTCGTGATGTCAGTGGGCGTGGCAGTTTCGCGATTTTCGCTTCCGAGTACGCAAAATAACGCAGCATGCTGGATGGATTAAAAACTAGGCGTATCTACCGGATCACCTGATAAATGAGAACACAACGGATTCGGCGGTCTTTTCTCGTCGCCGTTTGACCCACTACTAAAGACTATTTCATATTGTTTGGAGTCCGTTTTAATTTTGATGTATATATATAAGCACTGATAAGCAGCGAAAGAGTACTAAAGCACTAACAAAAATAGTCTCTTTATTGTGGAATACTTTTGGGTTGATCATATATATATGTTGTTATATGCTGTTAACTAACATTGTACTCTGTTAAATGTATACCTATATAAACTAACAGAATTGTTATACACATGAATGATTAAACTCTGTTCAATATATCTATATATAACAAATTAAATTGTTATACACATGTCTTAAATGGTAACGACACTAAAACATGGCACTTGGTGCTGGAATTTCAAAATTGTTTCTTATCTCTCCACTAATGCAATAGGTTTGCTGGCCAACTAATTGATGGCTTCTGTGAGCGGTAAAACAAGGTGAATTTTATCCATTAAATGAGTCAGAAAATGGAAAGGTTTTAACTCATTTTCGTTGACCACAATAGAACATTCCATTTATTAAATGTTCATTTCAAAGCATATAGATTAAATGTTCAGGCTTTATTTTTTAAAATTTTATAATATGTACCATTTTTGTAAGACAATTTTTAAAGACCTGATTTCAATCATAAGCTTATAAAATAAAATAGTTTTCAAATGAGATATTGACAACGTTGTAAGCTTTAATAAGGTCTTTTTTAAGTCCTTTAGAAATTCAAGCAAATCATTATTAAATTTCTGGCACTCTATCATTTTTAATTCCTTTAAATTCCTCCATTCCTAATGAAATCAATCCAAAGACTTTTTGACGTCGGCTGCCAAAGCTGCAACGGAAATGCCTTTTTTTTGCTGTTTGGTAATGGGTCATTGCCTATAATTATAGCGGAAATGTACTCTCATACCAATGAACAAGTTTATACATATAATATGTGCAGATTTACAGGCCCATTCAGTTTTCACAAAATGGCCGCGTCATCAGTGTGATTAACTGTAATGGAAGTGAATCACAAATCGGCAAGAGTCCACAGTCAACAGAGACAGTATATATATACCATATGTGGGAGTAAACAAATAAATTGGTAAATCTAGAGCACCGAAAAGAGAGTAGAGCTTCCCAAAAACAACCTAAAAAACCGAGCAGGAATGCGTTATCGGTGCGTAATGTTCCAATGATAAGATATAGCCAGCTTTATCTGAACGATAAGGCAGTGTTTCACAATCGAGTAGACGGCGACAGGTGAACAGAGTTTTGGCAACGCCCCGATCGGATCGTTATAGTTAACTTTACTTCAGTCTTAGCTGAGCGGCTCGCTGCAACGAACGTGTTTTTCTGCCTGGTAATTGAAATTAAATTAAAAATTGGTGGCAAGTGATAAGTGATAAGAGAACTGATAAGCTTTGGCCTTAACTGATGATGTCATCAAGCGAAATTGGTTAAAAAATAAGGATAAGTCGTGATTCGGCAGTGAAAAACATCAAATAAAAACTGAGTGAAATATAAAAAATAATCTCTGTGTTTTTCTTTTAGCAGTGAAACGAAAAAACGAATTACCAATTAAGTGATAAATCGAAATCGAGTGAAAATGCGCTTCAAACTGTTTGTGGTTTGTGCGCTGGCCTGTGGCTTTATGGCCTATGTCCTGGCCAACGAGAATATCTCCACGGAGGAGCTGGAGGATCAGATCGTTAATGCGGTGCCCGAACCTGAGACGAAACCTGTTACCAAACCTAAGCCTCAAGCGGAATTTGTGGAAGTTGTTCCAAAGGCCACGCCCGTTGTCAAAAAAGTGGAAGTGGAGGAAAAAGCGAAGACCAAGCCACTGGCTCTTCAGAAACCCACACTGATTCCTATGGTTCATGTAACCAGTCGAGGAACCGATGATATTTTAACCGTGGCCGGATTGAAGCCGCAGAAAATGTTTGGAGCCCTTGTAATGCCATATGACTATATGGGAGAGCTGGGATACGACGTGGACAATAGTGGCTATAATTGGGGTGAGTCGTTGTGTTTCGTTGTCCCTGGGCTGATTCAGTTCCACCCATTACTCATACGCCGCGTTGAATATCTTATCAGTGCTCAGTGGGTTTCAGTTTGGTTTAGTTACCAATATTTGCTCGATAACCTGTGCTCGGGCATTCAGGTGTTGTAAGCTCTCTTTTCCTCTCTCTGTGTTTTGCCCGATAAGATAATGCCCGGCAGTTGAGGCATTAAATAGCTAACAATTTTCTTGTTTTCCGCTTTAGCAAACAAAACAAGTGCGTGGTGGTGAGGTAGTTAATACATAGTATGTATATCTCTGTGGACACAGGAGGGCATAAATAGAGTACATAGTCTTGCATGATTCAGTTTACAACCACAGGTGGTGTGTGGATTTTGAAATTGCACAGGCAACTCTGTTTTATCAGTCGTCTAAAACTGATATATTGGCTATTCGGAATTGGAATTTTTCCCGTATTAGTCAGAGGTATTTGTTCGACTGTGATTATGTTACAGAAAAGGGATTGGTTGTGGACAGAGTTCTGGATCTGAAATATAATCTTGGTATGTGTGGTAATGAATCACACTTAAAATTTATTACGAAATTGTTATCCAGGGTAAATGAAAATTATGTTCTGACCTTTAATGTATTGATCACAAATGAAAGGTGTAGTTTTTATAAAGGGTTTTAATTGTCAAATCGATTTTTGAATCGAAATTAAAGAATCTTTGATTGTTGAATTATTATTAAACATAATTATTTTTTTAAATATGTTTTTTTGAACTTTTCTAAATTAATAATTTGTTTAAATTGGCCAAAACGTATTCTATGAAAATGAACACCACTTATTTACCTTTCCTGGTAAGAAAACTATAACAGGAAATCTGCTTCAGATATTATATATTTGAATTGTCTTTGAGCATTGTATTCTAAAGCTTATTCTAACTTAAAGTTAAAGTAAAGGCTATCCTTGGGAACTTAAAATTACTCCAAATTCGGGTTGTAGGATTCCTGAAATCAGGCGCTCATTGAGATTCGCTGCTCGTACTCGGCGATGCGCAATCGAACAGGAACCACCAAACTGAGGTCCTCCATGATGGCATGGTTTTGGGTTCTCACAGAAGCACTAGAACTGGGCCTCGAAATTGTGGCCCTGGACCTGTCCATCGAGGGTTTGCGGCGCAATGAGCACTTCCGCTGACTGCCCCCCTTTCCCACGCCCATTCCGGGTGGAAGGGGCGTGGCAAAGTGGGCGGCGGTGGCAGCTAGTCTTTTTGGTTTGGGCGGTGGCACCACTGAATTATTAACCGCTAGGCTACTGAGATTAGTATTGCTGCCTAGAAAACTATTGCTAGTACTGCTATTGGCGGTGGTTGTGGCAATATTTTGTGGACGGGTTGATCGCAACATGGCTATAAAGCGATTGTTTGGGGTGCTACTTGGTGTGGGAAAGCCCGACTCAAAGGTGTTGGTCAGCTTATTGAAGAAGTTGATTTTGTCGGTGACAGTGGGCTGCTGTTGCTCATGTTGCAGTTGCTCATGTGGCAGTTGCTCATGTTGCCTAGGTTGCTCCTGTTGCAGCAGCTCATGTTGCTCCTGTTGACTTGTGGTTTGTGGTTTCTCCTGGCCATTATTTCGCTTGGACATTTCCAGCACTTTCTCCCTCAACTCCATGGACCAGCGCTTTTGGGCCGTGTGCAATTTGGGTCGCAGCGGGGAAATGCCATTACCGGGCTCCACCGTTTTGGCCAATTCCACGGCCAGTTGGCTGGTAAAACGCGGCTTGGGCGTGGATGTGATTGTGGGCCTGGTCACTGCTGCAGACATGTCCTCGTCAATGTCCATTTCCAGTTCGCTGATAAATGATGAGGAGGAACGGGAGGCTGACGAACTACCAAAGCCCGGTGACGTGGGACTCAGCTTGTAGTTGTAGAACTGGAAGTTAAACGTGCTGATGCTCATGTTGAAGGTTCAGAGAAGACTGTGATGGTGTTGCCAGCAATCTAAGCCTTATATAGGTCAATTTCCAGGGACTACCTGCCTCTGAATTTAACCCGTGACAGCTGGTCCAGAAAAGTCAGGTAGCTAGGCTCTACAAAACCGAGCTGAATTTTATGGCAACTACCTAAGCCCCTAAAAGTAAAAAAGGAAAATAGCATAAGCGAGATATTTCCCAGGAATCGTCGTAACCCGCACACGCGAAATTTGCGTATTTTCCGCGCACCAATTTTACACAAATCTTTTTGCTAATCCGCGCTCGCTTTATACGGTCCTCCCTAAAAGGATTAGCGAGGGTACTTATTCATAATGAGCTTTCAAATGCGGCAGATGTTCAGGGTTTCTGGAAAGAATTATCTGTATTTTATGGCCCACTCTTAGCTGTTGACACTTCAATAGCGTCCTTATTACAATTAAAATCAATGCAATTTCAATGGCGAACAATTAACTCTCGGCAATTGACAGCTGACAAAATAGACGCAAAAGAGAAGGAAAAGGAAAAACGTCAATATAAATTAAGCACATTTCCATTTATTCAAAGCGAATAAATAAATCGACAGACTGGGAAAATTATGCAAAAAAGTGAAAATAGGTGTCAGGATCTTAATAGGGTTCATAATTAATTTATGAAATTAGTTATGAACATAAACGGTTACTAAGGAAAGGGTTTTCTTTGAATGTGCAAAGCACTTACATGCTTAAGTGTAGTTAAAGTGGCATCGCGTTTTAAAATAAAATAAGCTCTGAATGATACAGTTTATAAATTGTTTAAGGAAGAAAATATATATTTTATTAAACAACAAACGAATTTAAAACTTGAATATTATATCCTGCTAATCATATTTTCAAAACCATGACATATGTAATTGATTTAAAAAGGAATTAAAACTTATTAGAAACTGCTGTATATTTATCAAGTTATGTAATAGAGTCCTAATTAATTTATGAAAGTATAAGCTTGCAAACTAAGTTTCTTGAAAAATAACAGCCAAGTGATGCATCAGTTAGTTGAACTTCTAATTGATTTATAGGAGCACCCGATTATAGTCTAACTTTAAGAGTATTAGAAAATTATTGAAAACTGCTATGAATGTCCATCACCGCTGCGTTGTAACCTCATCTCCCCAGGGATGCCAGAAATATTTTGAATCTTTGTCGAGACTTTGCCACGAAAACTTCTCCAGCAATTTAAGTTTCTGGAGCAGTATCCTTAAGCGGATCCCGGGTTCCGGGCTTTCATGCGCTCCTGTTTCTGTGTCCATTGGGAACGTCAGCTTTGCACTTAATCAGCTTAAATTGCTTTAAAAGGCCAGCGGTAAAAGGAAATTAGGAAAAGGAGAAGGAAAAAATGACAGCCAAGTTGGCAGGACAGAAATGAATATTAACTGTGACCTTTAATGGCCAAGTGCCCGGAACGGGAGCCGCAAGGATGTGGGTGGCAAAGTTGCAGCTGGAAAATGCAAAAAAGGCAGGAGAAACTTTTCTTTTCACTTTATGCCTGGCTACGACGCAGCAAATGCAAAGGATAATATTGTGGAATTGAAAAAGTAATCTACCTGGATTAGGTGTGAAATTATAATGATAGGCCAGAGCTCTCCTCTCTAAGCTATTTGTCTTCTCCTCTACCTTTTTTGATGCAGATCCCAATAACAATGTGGCCCCTCCAACCACGTATTCGGTGGCAGCTGGAGGCTATACCATCACCCCCGCCCGATTGGCGGAGCTCAGGAGCACCTTCATGTACTGGTACTTCGACAAGGACATGTACGGAGGACGCGCCGACTACCAGTTCGACATACACGCCTCCATGACACAACTGCACAAGAATCTTAACTTCCAACTGCCCTTCTACGGATTCCGCTTCAACTACACGAGGGTAGGTTTTTATTAAAAATTTTCGCTTTGTGGTTGTTAGGTTTTTCAAATTTAAACATTTTACTTCATTTTGTAATTTTGGACTTACCTTTTTTTGAAATTATGTGGTCTCAAAATGTAATTTATATTCATAACACATTTAAAAAAATGTATATAAGCTAAATACGACCAATTTTTTATCTAACATTTTTTTAATAATTAAATATGTTCAGCACACAAAACACATGATTGCACTTTAATAAACGTTATTTTCCATTTTGTAGAAAATCACAATCTTTATTGCTTAATTAAATTGTGTTTTTTGAATGAAAAGTTATATCAACTATTCAGACCAAAATATAAACTTCGTGTCTAGAATGTGGTATCAGTTGTTTGGACTTTAAGACAGTGGCCTAAAGTTTAATAGACAAGTTTATGCAAAGTTCTCCGAAATTGTAGTTTCTAATTTCAACTTCGACTCTTTAACAGCTCTCCCTTAATGGATACTTGGAGTTCTCGGACCCGCCAGAGTACCTCACCTATCCCCTGGTTTTCCCGATCAAGGATTGGCCCATTAAGAACGATCCCTCTTTCATTGGTATCTTCTTCAGCAAGTGCAGAGTGGGTCGAATTTACCCATCCGATATTGACCAGCGAACGCCTGGCGTGTACTTCCGGTAAGTGAATGCATCTCGTATCTCAATCAATTTCCGCAATCCTCCTCCGCTTCCTGCTCGTATTTCCGGTTCGTTTGTATTTATTTGCTAACCATATTTATTTGCCTTTGTTTCTCGTGGCATTTGCATATTCAAAATCAGCACACAGCACGCGCCAAACAAAAGTATTTATACGTATATATGATACGTTCTATGTGCGCCTGTCGCCATTTACAGAAAACTAACACAAAATAGCATGACTGTATGCGTGCGTCCCACTCTCCATTTTGTATTAGGCTGTGTGTGTTTTTGTGTGAGTTGACCAGCATTTATGCATAAAGCCTTTCAAAAGGTATGATTTATTTGACTGAGAATTTGTTTTTTATTAATGCAGGCGACTATATCATGACATTCACAGGGTATTAGGGTTTATTATCGGCTTTAAATTTGTAAAAATCTTGTAGCTTAATTCATTTTAATGAAAATACAAATAAAAATCTATGTCAATTATATAAATTCGAAGTATATTAAGCTAAATGATTTTAGAGAACATACAGTTTATAGAAGTATACATAAAAAATTTTCACCAACAAATATATTGTCAATAAATGTTTTTTTGGCAAATCTTGAACAAATTTAAAAGAGTATGTTATCTTCGACTAATTGCAGCGTAAAACTGTATTACTTGTCATTGTTAGGTTTGGTTTTGCCATTCATTGCCCCACCATTTTTGCATTATTTTCATGGTGGTTACTTGTTTACTTATGCTCTGTAATATCTGCCAGCAGATTTCCACCTCTATTATTTTGCTTTTGATTTCGGTATGCATTTGTGCGTGAGTTCATTTCGAAATGTCCATAATTTTTGTTGCAATAGTCTTGATGCATTGTCAAAAATGTTACAGAAAAGAGCATAAAACTTCATTCAACCCGCTGTAACCCTAATGAAACAATGGCATTTTGGGTGATACAATTGTGAGTCTAGTCTGAAAGCTCTCTGTGCCCAATGTGACTTTAATTATATTCAGTTACCCTGCACTTTTACCATGCTATTTTTCGAGGACAATGCTTAAATTTATACAAACATTTCCGTTTTTTCCTTGCTTTCTAGCTAATTATGCAAATTAGTACCAGTGGGAGTTGAAAGTAATTTGTGGTGTATTTATTTGGGTTTCCCATCAGCAGCAGCAGAGTAGCATTAAAAGTCCTAAAAAATTCTGTATAACTGCAGACAAAAAAGAAGCGCCACTCAAAAATGCATTAATTAGTTAAAGCAAGTTTTATCTTAAATTGCTCGTTGGTTAACCGTAGTTTGAAGCTATTCAGAGCATAAATTATGGTTGCTCGGCTACATTGTTTCAACAGCTTTAAATTTCATGGCTTTCAACAAGGCAAAAAAAAGACGTAAGGGTAGAGCATAAATTACTTCAAAGTGACACAGAATGACAAGTCAGTTGAGGGATGTATGGAAATTTTACGGAAAAAATAGACGAAAAATTACAAAAGTGGTTAAATTAATCTGACAGCATTATGAATGGTTAAAAGCGCTGTAAGATAAATGTTTTTCCATTGAATTGTTTCCCGGCATTTTCCGTTTCTCACGTTTGCTGGATTTGTTGTCAACACTTAGTGACGCCTTCTGACAAATTGCCACAGCAGAGCAATTAACATTCTGAAAGGAGTGCAAGGATTCAGCGTGTACAAGCCATTGCATTTTTATAGTTTTAACACAGTCCGACAATATGTCAAACTTGGTCCGCAAAACTCGTTCAATGCTAGAGACCCTGACATTTAATTGTCTTCGCCTCGTGTATAGCACCACCAAGGGGAAATGTTCAGCCAAACTTTGATGCGTGCACTATGAAAAATGTGGTCAAATTTATAATATTTAATGTCTAGTATAACATCAGAAAGATTTTGTACTTTAAATTACTTATCGTAATAGCTTTGGAAAGTAATTTAAATTCTTTCAATGGGAACAAGGCTTACAAACGAGTTTGAAAACTCATTCGTGATTTTGGAAATAGTTTTTTCGCTCAGTGCATTTGTGAGTGGGCGAACGGGGTCATTTAAGAATGGCGAGTGACTTAAGCTCTGACTGGAATTTATATTAAATAACTTTGCATGGCGCTGAAGATAAAGAAACCAAGCAGAGCGAAAACGAAATGCAAAATGTGATGTTAAATTGCTGAACACTCACCCACCACCTCCCCCTAATCGACAACCCCTTCAAAAGCCCAGCAATACTCATTTCGCATCAATTTAATTACACACTCGCACTTAGCGCTCAGTCCTTGGATTAGCTGAAAGTGCAGGGCATTGCGCATACGCCACATGGGTCGCCGTCCACTTTGACCATTAAATTCATTATGAGCGCACGTTTAATTACACACACAAGCGCTTAGTCGCGTCGGATGGCGAATAAAAACGTAATGTCGTTTGTTCAGGATTTTTTCCATTGTGTTAAACGCTTTAAACTTTGTCAGATTGTGAATTTCGACGTGTGTGAATGTTTTTTTTTTGGTGAGTGTGGGAAATTCTTCAGGACCTGCAAGCATTTAATTGTGGTTTGGCAAAGGCAGCAGCAAACGAAATCCTAATTGCCGGCTTGCCTTGTCGCTATTAAAACATTTTCGGCTGTTTTGCAGTAAATAAGTCAAAGGTGCATTTGCAAGGTAAGGAAATTGAGATATTAAAATGCATACCAGTTTTTACATGCACAAGTTCTTGCACAAAGCTATGCCTTTTATTACTTCAATATTCGTATTTAGTAAATTTTTTAATATCACGATTTTTAATAAAAGAAAATTTATTTAAAAAGCCCGATTTTAGAAACTATATTAATGCTCAGCAATATTCTTTTGTAATTTTGGAATACTTTTAAAGACAGCATTAAATAAACAGTTTAAGTTTATTCTTAAAAGACTACATTTATTAAAGTACCTAGCTTTAAAAACTTTGCAGTCACTTTTCTTCAAATTTACAGAGTAAGGCCATGGCACTCCAAGTCGATTCTCAAAGTTCTGTATAAATGGTTTTGGCCAAAAGTTTTTCCTTATAACCGTAGCGCCATAATGTTGCCGCTTCATTATTCTCCTTTGCCAATCATAACAAGAACTTGCCCAATCCTTTTCGACCCCAAAACCACCCAAAACGCCCCATTTTCGTCCTTGCCTGGGCCATTTGCAAGTCTCAGTTTGCATTTACTGGTGAGGAGAGCGTTTTTGCTTGCTGTTTTCTGCAGCTTACATGCAATTTTCGCCATTTTCTTTAAGTACGGCCATTGTTTCACTTTCATTTACACCCCGAGATGGAATTGGGCCACACGGCAAAGGCAAAGAATGAGACATGGATTCCATGGATATACGGGGCTAAAAATGGAGGAGGGGCTTTGAACGGGACTCAAATATTTCCATGCAAAGCGGCAAAAGGCATTTTAACCTACAAATGCAGACAAAACTGTGGCAACGCCCGAATGTATGCAATAAAGTACATAATGGCGCAGTTCAAGAACTGGCCTGCGATGGGAAAATGGTGGAAAAGCGGGTGGAAAAGGGGACGGAACGCGACTTATGTAGGAGCTTCTGAGTTTCTATTACTTTTTTGCGACTTTCTCTATGTCGGCACTGCGAGAAAAAATTCTAAAGTTTCATATATTTAAGAATAACTTATAAAAACATCTAGCAGTTAAATTTGACTAGGTAAATTATACAAGTAATATTTATGAATTAGTCTAGCACTTAAAATATTGAGTTGAAATGGTAAAGTAAACATCAATTTAAAAGAAAAAAGGTGGAATCCAAGCAAACTTTAGTAAATTGGTGTGAACTAAGAAAACATTTTCAAAGAAAAAGAAAAGAAAAGTTATTGTTAAATATTCTTAAAATAAATTTCCCTTTTTAAGGTAAATAAATAATTAGAACAAAAAAATTCATTTTTTTGAGTGCCTCCGTAAATGTGTGTGGCTTTTTGGCTTACTTACACGTAAAAGTCGTAGAGTCTGCGGTTGTTTTTGGCTGCTGCGCGCGCATTTCTAGGCTGAGTGACAATTCGCATTTTTTTTAGCCCAAATGTCAATTGCAGACTTTTAAAGTTTTTTGCTCAGGGCAAACACAAATGATAA